ATATTCAAAACAGACAGCACATTTCGAGAATACTTTCTGAGCTAGCGCCACATGGGCTCATACGATCCCTTAAATCCGTATCATTGATCGCAGAAACAGAGCTCAGTCAGTACCCATTATCGGTGTCAAGCTCTAAAACTAGTCTCACTATGATACCAGTTTTCAGCCTGATCCCCATTTTCGAGCTCACCTGATTCCAGTTTGAGGGCTCAAATTGTGTGGTGAAGCCAATATTAGGGCTCACGTCATCGCTTTTCGGGGCTTTGGTAAAAGCTGGATTGCGTCAGCTGGCTGGCCAGCTGGCGACGCACGAAAGGTATTTAATTTTAGATATACCTAAGCGCGGTAGTAGGATGGACATAAATATTTCAAATGGCTTTAAATGAAAAATTGATTGGTAATTATTCATTCTTTTATATCTAGCATTGATATGTAAGAAGCTCTGCTAGCGCCACCATACGGCGCCAGCTGGCAAAAAATCCAGTTAATACCAGAGCCCGCTTTTCGTCCGATGCAGCCCCTCCTCCCCCCTCCCCCGTGTCCAGCAGCTGCGAATAAGACGAAGCCGCGGACAAACTTTTTTTTTTGCTCGGCCAGCCTAGCGCCAGTCTCGAGCGGTGGGACAGTTAACCGGCAATTTTGGCCGGGATGCCAAAAGTTACGTTAAACCGGTTTATGTTAACCCGGGAGCAAATAACAACGTGGGAGCCTATCTTAGGTGTGGCAAAGCTAACGGATTACTTACTTGTTGCCGAGGTGCCCAAAGAAGGTACTGGAACCGAAAACACAACATTGGTTCATGTATTTATTAACATTCATACACACAGTCATACTTGTGCAAGGTGTCAGTGTTCGGTTGTGGGGTGTAATAGCCAGGGAAAAAGTTCTATGAACTGAAAAACCCGGCGCCTATGACTTCGCAACATGGTTGTGTATTCAACATGAACTGCAAGGAGTGCAGACGACATTGCCTGTGCTAACTTAACGTCTCACGGGCAGCGCCGCGCTCTGACACCTTGGTCCCAGAAGCGGCGGCGTTTCTGACCGCAAATCGCCGGAGAGCCGGTCGACGCCGTTGAGGGGACTGAGCAGGCCGCTGCCAGCTCCACCTTCACGTCCGCGCGGCGCAGCTCGGTGTGCGGCGGCGGCTCATCGCGCGGGCCGCACCCGTCCGTCCGCTGCACGAGCCGCTTTTCGATCCGACAGCGCAACACCGGCACGCCATTGTGCTGGCTGAGCGGCGGCAGCGGCACGTAGGCAACAAAACAGTAGAAATCGATGGGCCTGGATCGGCGTTGCCAGCAACGCCGGCAGCGGCGCGGCGGGAGGCGCCAGTGCCGCCGTCGGGGACGTGTGCCCTTCGCTGCGCTCATTCGAGTTGGCCGGCCGGCCGCGCGGCGTAGTCCTTTTGACACGGTGCGAGAAGAGCCGGATGAAGGTGGACTTTTTATTGGCGTTGCTGGTGCTCACGCCGCCGGCGTCCAGTTTGGGCGGCAAGTCCGAGTACCAGGAGTCGGACAAGTCCCGCGCGAACGCCGCCAGCCGGTCGTCGTCACTGCTGGCGGCGGCCCGCCGACGGCGCTGCCTCAGAATCGGACGAGTCGGTGGTACTGAGCACCTCGCGGGACGGGTAGCTGGGAGTGGGCCGGCCGCGGCCCCTGCCAGGCCGCGCCACCTTCACCGGCGCAGCCGCCTTCAAACTGCCCTTGCTGGGCGGCGGGTTGGTCGGCGGAGGCGGCAGCGGTGCCTCGACGTCAGTCCGAGTCGCTGTCACTGGGCGGCCGCCGCGGAGACGGCTTCTGTTTGACCCGCAGCCGGCCTGGGCCGGCTCGGCGCCCTCGGCCGGCGGCGCGCGCCGTTTCGAGCGTTTCACCTTTTCACTGTTACTCTCGCCTGGTCCTCAGCGTCGAGCGGCTCGGCGCTGTTCGGTTTCATGTGGCCCATGCTGCTGGGAAACTCGGGTGGGGACAGCTTTCTGACTGGAGTGCCGTCGAAGATGGAGGAGACGGGGGTGCTCGCAGAGTCCTTGCCCAATGCCCATGATAGAGCCGAGGCTCCACTGGACGCCCAGCTTAATCGGGCTATCGCCGCCCTCCTTCTATGGTGGATTCTTCGGCCCCCTACAGCCACTAGGGCCATCATATACTCCCAGATGGCGGCACCTAGGGGATGAGGGGGGGGGGGTGTCTGGGCCACTTGTCCACCTCGTGGCGTCGCCAGCGACGCCTGCGAGTCGGAGCAAATGATTATGGGGTCTTCCTCGAAGGACGGGTGCTTCAGGAGATGTTGCTTTGCCGTTTTGGGCGCCACCATCTCAGATCGGTAAATGGAGCAAATCCTCCCCGCCGCCTCCCGCAGTACCAATGTTGTACTGTCTGGGTGCTCGGTGAGGACCCCAGCGCCGCCTTCCTATTACTCCCCCGGTCGCAGACCCGTCGACCCAGGCCCACGTCGCACGCTGGGGGAGCGCTCCCAGTCACGCCTCCGCAGCACTCCTCCTCGCTGTCGCGGACGCCCCGATCGGCAGCAGGTCCAGGTGGACCGTGACGCCGTCTGTTGGCGTCTACGGGGGCAGTCTCGTGGATAAGCGCGCCTCGGCGGGCAGCGCCACTCCAGTGGTCCCACACCGCTCCCCCGCGCTCTCTCCAGCCGGTCACTGACTTCAGTCACGGTTGGGGGGGGGGCTTCCGCCACGACGCGGCGGGTCCTCCGACGGGAGGGAGAGCGCCTTCGCCAGTAGGCGCGATGCCAGCGCATCCCTCCTCATCTCTCCATCGGCACGACGCCCGCCTCGGCCCTCACGGCGAGTCTTGGAGCATGGAAATCGGGCAGCCAGTGATGACTCATGCCACCATCAGCATCTCCGCCTCCAGGACGCCAAGATGTGTGGCCGCAGCCGCAGGCAGCCACGCCGACCCCGCTGCCCGCATGCCCAAGTAGTCTCGAATCGCTGACACCTCTCCTGAAACAAGAGTGGTGTCGTAAACTTAAACCCCTTGCTGGAGCCCGCCAGCCGCGACAACACCGCCACACCAATTTTTGTGACCCCGGAACTTCCGTCCCGAGCCTTATTTCACGGCACGATGCTACAGTGCGCTACACGTATTGTGGTATTCAGCTTCCATGGAAACATCAACTAATTTGGACGCTCAAACATGGGAGTCAGGAGTGGTTAAGGCCCAGAGCGTTCTGTCTGGTTTATAAAACCTTGGCCAGCAGATGTAAACGTGCTTTTTGTATAAGTGGCTTAATTTTGACGCAAAAGGGCACTAACCTTCGGCGCAAATAATGCAGAAATTTCAGCGCAAATTGCAAAATAGCTTGCGCCGAACTTCGGCGCATGACGGCTTCACGGGCGTCCGGCGTACCATATGGATGTTTTCCAGTTTGGGCTGCAGGTTTTAGCTCTAGGTTTTAGACTGTAGGTTTTGGGTTGGGTTGGGCTGGGCTGGGCTGGGCTGGGCTGGGCTGGGCTGGGTTGGGCTGGGCTGGGCTGGTTGGGGTGGTTGGGTTGGGTTGGATTAGGTTAGGTAAGTTTAGGTTAGTTTAGTTTAGGATAGATATGAATACCTATTTTTTGTAAGTTGAATTATTTTTTTCATTTCGTAGCATCATATGCCTTCCATCTTTGAACTGCCATATTCAAGCACCAGAATAAGTATGGACTTGAACCTTTTCCAGTCTGGATGCCTGTATGGAAGTTGTGCAAAATCATGCAGTTGAAGGTATTGTAACCACAAATAAGAGCTCATGACTCAAGTCTCAACTTGTCCATAATTGGTTATCTTGATGTATACTTGTAGACCCTTCCTCTTACTTGGCACACAGGCATGGTGTCACAGTGTTCTAAAATTGGATTTCAATTGGGTGTCCCAATAAAAAAAATCTGAAGACAAAATGAGATAGATTTAGTCTTTCCGCAAAACTGCATAATGCCATTTTTACCTCAGATTTTGTCAGAACCTTCACAGGATCTGAAATGAAATGATGTAGAGTAGATGCATCAACTGTCAAGTCATGCGTAACCTGGCAGCTGGCTGTTGAATCAAACTTTTGACATATTTTTTTTAGCAAAGATGAAATAAAGCCACTTGTCATATTTTTAGGATGAAAACATTTTCCCCATCATGTGTGGTTATTCACCTAAAATTCTGAAACATGGAACACTCTCATACCAGCATTCCATCATGTCAACCAGCATTCCGCAGCATGTTAGCAGAAGCAGCAGCATGTTATAAGTATATGAAAGATCCAAATAGGTTGTAGGTTGGTAGGTATTGGTACTAAGTTTAACTTAATAGGTTAGTAGGCAAGGTTAGGATTAATTTTAGTTGAGCATCAAGATAACCATTAGGAACAAGTAACAAAATCCTTACCTACCCTTGAAAGCATTGCTTCAATCACATCATCACGAAGAACCAGACAAAATTTTTGCACATTCTTACACTATTTGACATCCTGAATCCAGATATGATGCTTTCATGTGGCGCAAATACAAGAAAAACGAATAATCAAACCCGTGCGTATTCGTATCAACGGCGCCACAATTGTAGATCAGACCTTTTCTGAACAAATGCCACCACAATTTTAATTGATAAGGCATGAGCATCAACATCTTGATTTTTTCTAAAAGATAGTGATAACTGATAACTAATAACTTACCATTCATTTTGAAATCACGGCGGTAGGTACACCAACACATGGCACTGAAAACAGCAAAAGACGGAATGGCGGAATGTCGTATGGAGCCCTAAAACGCAGCTCGAATTGAGCCCGAAAAGGAAGACGAACTGATGCCGCTTTCGGGGCTAATGTACTTTGAGCCCGAAAAGGGCGCCTAACTGATCCCGATTTTAAAATCATACAGATTTGAGCCCTGTTTTGGCACTCATATGAGCCCTTATTCAAAAATGTTCTCAAAGTGTTTTCTGAGTGTAGGTATGAGGGCGTTCAGCTCTGTAGTATGCTGTAGTGTATTCCCTGTAGGGTATTCCCCGTACCTTCGTAGTTGATTCTGCCGTCCTTGTCTGCGTCCGCCATCTGTATGAGGGCGTTCAGCTCCGCCTCTGTCATTCGCTCCTCGATGAGGTCCATGGCTCTCCTCAACTCGTCCTGGTGGCACGGGAAGAGTGGAGGGAGGGAGAGGGAGGGGCGGAAAGCTGATCGGCAGAGAAAAGATGCAGTATCTCCCAACAGCAAAAAGTGATTCGGACTCCCGATGATCAAACGTTTCGCCTAAAAGGCTACTATGTGATATTTGGCATAGAGGTTCAGGATAAATTTCAGGCTACAGTTATTGTAATTTAATACCTAAAGATGAAAGTCATTCGCTGTTAAGTTGTAGCTGGTGACGTAAAGCTCACCAGTGTGATGTAGCCGTTGCCGTCATTGTCAAACAGTCGAAATGTCACGTGATCTTTTCCCACTCACCAGCGTGATGTAGCCGTTGCCGTCCCTGTCAAACAGTCGAAATGCCGAGAACAGGTCGCTGGTCACGTGATCTGGCGCCTTGTCGGCGGAGAGACTCTGCATTTTCAGGAACCAGGAGATGAACTGACCCTCGCTGATGAGTCCTCCGTCTGCCGACACAGAGCGCGGGCCCGGGTGGGGAAGGGTTGGCGGTGATTGCGGTAGTGTGGCGGTGTTCATATTGTGCCACAGCGTGCGAGAATGTGTTTGATGCGGTTATCAATTCAACTTTTGCTAGATGTAAACGATGCAATGTAAAGTAGGGTAACTGTGGGGAAAACGCACCCCTGGGTTAAAGGCCTCCCCTAAAAAAAATCGTATTTCTTATCGACGGATAGGTGTTTTATCCTGTCTTTCAGAACAGTCAGCTGCTTGTTTACGTAGGTCTCTATTTCCGGTTCTGCGTCTTGAGGAGCAGCGTGGGTAGGTGCTGATGTTGGTTTTGGGTGTTGTTTTTGTTGTTTTTACAGAAGATTCCTAAGATTTTGATGCCCTCTTTATATCACAAAACTTGCTATTGTGCACATCACTAAAAACTGCGTTTTATTGCCATTCCGTTGAATTTATTATGCTGCGGCGTTAGTGGCGCGTTTTTTGTCAATATTTTGTTGACCGGAAATGGAGTGGATGGGGAAAGACGCCTACTCGATGCATGGGGCAAGACGCCCCCAGTTTTCTGAAAGGGGGGCGTTTTGCACGGTGGTGAGAGTGCAGGGTAGCGCCCTGTAGGTGGGTGCCGAAAAGGCCTCTCCCTGTCCTTTTTTGCTGATATATCCTAAAGGACTGCAGATATCGTCACCAAACTTTCAGGACTCCTCCGGGCATCCATTTTACACATTGCAACACAATTTTATTCCAAAGGCTATGATAGGTTGACCACAAATGACGTCAGAATGACGTCAAGTTCTGCCATGTTTATCATTTTCTGTTGATGGATGGGGTGGGGGCGCTTTGCACATGGGTGTGGGCGTATTACCCAGGGTATGGGGCAAAACGCCCTTTTGTAAGGGTATGCGAAAACCTTTTTGGGGGGTTAAATACCACACGCAGGTGTCTTTTCTTGGTCTCAAAGCGTAGTAAAAAGAATGAGCTACATGATGGTGCCCAAAGGTTTGAGTAATCTGTGTTGGGTTGAGTGTCAGAAGGTTTCGCGCTTAATGGGGGCGTTTTTGACCTATTCACCCTAAGTACGAGTATATCATCTTGCACTTGCATGATGCCATGTCACCATTGTTTCGACATGATGCAGTATGCAAACTTGCAGTGAAATGGTTCATAGAATATATTTCTAAGACATTTATTCTTGACACCTCTAGTTTGGAGGAAACCGCTGAAGTGTTTTTTAAAAGTAGTTCAAGCGCACTGAACCGCACCCACTCGCCGTGGTCGGTTGGGAGTTGGGACCAGTGACGTACCGTTTTCACCTGCTGACGTCATCAGCTCTCCGATGAGCGAGTCGTCCACCTGGATGTCCAGCTTATCGAGCAGCATGCGCTTCAGCTCCTCGGCCGTGATGCTGCCGTCCTTGTTGCGATCCGTCAGACGGAACACCATCTTCAGCTCTGACCGGACGGCGCACAGCGGGTCACGACGGACAGAGGTCACGGCGCACAGCGGGTCACAACGGGACAGATATCACGGCGCACAGCGGGTCAGTCGGAACACCATCTTCAGCTCTGGCCGGACGGTGGACAGCGGGTCACGACGGGACAGGGATCACGGCGCACAGCGGGTCAGACGGAACACCATCTTCAGCTCTGGCCGGACGGCGCACAGCGGGTCACGGTGGGACAGGAGAGGGGAGGGGGGTCACGGTGTACAGCGGGTCACGGTGGGACAGGAAAGGGGAGGGGGGTCACGGTGTACAGCGGGTCACGGTGGGACAGGAGAGGGGAGGGGGGTCACGGTGTACAGCGGGTCACGGTGGGACAGGAAAGGGGAGGGGGGTCACGGTGTACAGCGGGTCACGGTGGGACAGGAAAGGGGAGGGGGGTCACGGTGTACAGCGGGTCACGGTGGGACAGGAAAGGGGAGGGGGGTCACGGTGTACAGCGGGTCACGGTGGGACAGGAAAGGGGAGGGGGGTCACGGTGTACAGCGGGTCACGGTGGGACAGGAAAGGGGAGGGGGGTCACGGTGTACAGCGGGTCACGGTGGGACAGGAAAGGGGAGGGGGGTCACGGTGTACAGCGGGTCACGGTGGGACAGGAAAGGGGAGGGGGGTCACGGTGTACAGCGGGTCACGGTGGGACAGGAAAGGGGAGGGGGGTCACGGTGTACAGCGGGTCACGGTGGGACAGGAAAGGGGAGGGGGGGTCACGGTGTACAGCGGGTCACGGTGGGACAGGAAAGGGGAGGGGGGTCACGGTGTACAGCGGGTCACGGTGGGACAGGAGAGGGGAGGGGGGTCACGGTGTACAGCGGGTCACGGTGGGACAGGAAAGGGGAGGGGGGTCACGGTGTACAGCGGGTCACGGTGGGACAGGAAAGGGGAGGGGGGTCACGGTGTACAGCGGGTCACGGTGGGACAGGAAAGGGGAGGGGGGTCACGGTGTACAGCGGGTCACGGTGGGACAGGAAAGGGGAGGGGGGTCACGGTGTACAGCGGGTCACGGTGGGACAGGAAAGGGGAGGGGGGTCACGGTGTACAGCGGGTCACGGTGGGACAGGAGAGGGGAGGGGGGTCACGGTGTACAGCGGGTCACGGTGGGACAGGAAAGGGGAGGGGGGTCACGGTGTACAGCGGGTCACGGTGGGACAGGAAAGGGGAGGGGGGTCACGGTGTACAGCGGGTCACGGTGGGACAGGAAAGGGGAGGGGGGTCACGGTGTACAGCGGGTCACGGTGGGACAGGAAAGGGGAGGGGGGTCACGGTGTACAGCGGGTCACGGTGGGACAGGAAAGGGGAGGGGGGTCACGGTGTACAGCGGGTCACGGTGGGACAGGAAAGGGGAGGGGGGTCACGGTGTACAGCGGGTCACGGTGGGACAGATATCACGGCGCACAGCGGGTCACGACGGGACGGAGGGAGGGGACGGGGGGCACGGCGGGACAGGGAACACGGCGGAACAGGGGAGGGGGGGGGGGCACGGCGTAATAGGGGTCACGGTGGGACAGAGGGTTACAGCGGGACAGGGGCCACGGCAGAACAGGGATAACGACTCACGGCGGAACCGGGGGGAGGGGGATGATGTCGAACCGAAGGGAGTGGCGGCCGATCTCGGTTACAATTTAGGTACTAATAGTTCGAAAGCCACTAATGATTGTTATTGTAGCTTGAATAAATGTTAAATATCAACGACGGAAATAGCGCTGAATGTCTGACCACTTTGTATCTACATAACTGGTCAGGATAGTTGTGTGCAATGTGCAATAGTAGTTTAGGACTGTAAACTATGGGAATGAATACGGTTGGTAATAGTAGACATACTGGAAACTTGCTTTTCGTCCCTTTTTTCCATTTGTTTTCTAAAACGTAGAAACTATAATTAAAATGAGGAACGAAAACAGAACAATTGAAGTAACGACGATATCATGCAAATGAGCAGAAAAAATGCTACTTTTCGCACATTCTGACATACCAACAAATCGAGATGGTGTACTGTAAGGACAAAACACTGGGCATAAACAGCACTACGCCAGCCATATGGGACGTTGAAAGCGCAGCGGACACATTGGGCGGGCAATCGGAATAAAAGCAAAGAAACAAGCGAACACAAATCTTCAGTAATCAGTAATGCATGTTTTATCGCAGAATGCTAGAAAGCACATGATTAAATTGCTGCCTCGCCTAACTTTTTTTAGTCTACTAGCATTTACTAGAAATGATATCGTTCCTAGACTCTACGCTATAAACAGACACATGCAGTTACCTTTCAGCTCATTGTCCGACATTATATTGCTTCCTTCCTGAAATGATACCAGGTGACATGAATAAACGTGCCTCAGGCTCTAATAGGCCTAATAGCATTTGAGCAAAATGATGTAAATTGTATATAATCATGATGTAAAACTTTGATGTTATCCTCGACCTCGATATCATTTTAATAAATAGAGATGTAAAATATTTTATTTTTTATTACGTGTTCAACCTCCAATTGCAAAGGCTGCATAACTCTTATCAAATAAAGTCAAAAAATGGTATATTAGGTACTCGTAAAAATATGGTGTGGTGTGTGTTTCATGACCTGGAGTGCATGCAAAGGCGACTGCAGCCTCTTGTAATGTATGCACTTTGAGTGGAAGAAAATGTCCTGACGAGGAGCATACATATGTGTCAAAAATTGCTTGGAATAGTTCATGCAGTCTTTGGGGTAAAGGGCCATTGCCATAGGTATTTTTCTGTGCCCGATTGGCCCGAGTAGGCAGTGATTGAAAAACAACAAGCGGCGTGACATGACATTACATCACTAGTGAGCTAGCGATAAATGATGCGCTTTTAAGCTCGACGAGACGGGCAGTAGGTAAATCTATGTTTTGAAGAAGGTATGCCTACAAAGAAAGACATCGGATATTATTTGCTACGAAGCGTATTCTGGAATAAAGTCATTTATATTTAAAGCAAAAAAGAGTTAATGCATCAAAGTGAAATGCACCAGCTATCAAAACATGTCACTTCAACCGATCTCTTTCCGCTTCAGCATTTCGAAAACATCGGCATTCAATCATAAGGCTGAGCGGAGTTGTGTTGCGCTCTCTCTCTCTCTCTCTCTCTCTCTCTCTCTCTCTCTCCTCTCTCTCTCTCTCTCTCTCTCTCTCTCTCTCTCTCTCTCACTACTGACAGCAGTGGCAGCTCCCTCAGTTTGGTGAGTGTCCCAGTGTATCCGTGTCTGCTAGCGGGGGACCGCGAGAGGTCGTTACCCGAACTGATTCTCCGGAATGGTCCGAATAGGTCAGTGGAGAGCGACACAACGAACAGCGCGGTTCAAAGGACTCGAGAGACAACAGTACAACAGGTGCTCTCAGAGGACCACGGGTAGCGGTGAGGTTTTATCTGATATTCAGGAGCGACTGCTATAAGGGACGTCCCGGGTATTATACACAGAGGACGGACCGGGCGCTTCGAAGGACTCCGCGGTGTATCGGGGGACGGTCTGATTGTTTCTGAAAACGTTCCGGGTGTTTCAGAGGACAGTCCAGGTGTTTTAGATAATAACCTGGGTGGTTATTAACTAATGATAACCTGGGTTGTTAGGTTTCGGAGGATGGTTTGGGTGTTTTAGAGGACAGGCTGGGTGTTTTAGAGGACAGGCTGGATGTTTTGGAGGACTGTCATATCACTCCTGTGTTTCCGAAGGCACGGTCCGATGTGTTTCAGGCGGGGGCCGGCCCGGGGCGGCCTTGGCTCTGACAAACGCTGCATTAGGCCCATCGATTGTGGGGCTCCGCCTGGCTGGCCAGAACGGCCCGGGGCGACGGACGAAAAGTAGCATTGTGCTAGCGGTAGAGCGAGGGTGCGGTAATCTTGGCAGCAAAGTTGTTACATTCATTAGCATTTTGTCCAATATGGTTTGGGATATGACATTCCGAATTTGAAGTTTCTCGATTGCTCATAGCAAGCGGCGATGAGATGGATGTCGCGAAAGACCGAATAATTGACACATCGCAATTCAATAAATAAAATTACAAAACTATTTCATCGGACCCTCTCGGTCCGTTCCGTGGGGGTGAGGGTGGGGGGGGGGGGGAGGGTCCTGTTGACATGCTGTTTATGGTCGGCCCGCACGAGACTCGACCTTCCTGACGAAAAACACCAGTCTGCTGCTGGCTGAGCCGTGCCAGTCGCCAGCATCGATTCCACCCACTCAACAGCAGCCTCCTATGTTTTTGACAAACAACGAGCTGGAGCGGAAAATGTGAAAACAGCAACCGCTATATGCGTAGTTTTATTCTGAATTGAAGGCAAGTAGCTCAAAATATTCCCGACTCTTACATCTCAGTGAGGCATGCTATAACCGATGATTCAGGTGAAATATCTATAGAAAATATCAGAAATGGTACCTATCATTTCGAGATATTGTGTAGAGAGCCACGCTAATCATACTTATCACTGGTGATATATAGTAAGACAAGCTGTAACTGCATATAAACAATACGGTTTTAACGAATGCCTACTGTTGAAAATGATTTGTATGCAAATACCGTATATCGCACCGATTTGTATGGCGAGAAAACAAAACCATTTAATTTCGAACGCAAGAAAATATAGTATTTATCACAGTTGCTCGACACAGGCTTTGTTCTAAGCACAGGTTCTTTCGTAAAATTTTCAACAGCTCTGGTATGTTTTTCCATAGAAAAAAAAAACAATTCTAACGAGCATTGGTTTTTGTTATGGAACAAAAGCGTTCCTTTATTTATAGGTACTGATAACATTACTTTTATGCGACTGCTATTCATCAGGTAATGTTGCCTGTTGCCATCTATTAAAAAACTATATATGTAATTGGTGTGCTTTTACGATACCAATTCATTTTCTGAAGGGTTTTATCGGTTGTAGTCGTTCCATCTTAAGAACAAATATTTGATTAGTGGGATAATAAGACTATCGATCGAAATGCCCTATCGAACGTTTTCAGGGGTGGACAAATGTGCTGAGTTGGGGTAGCACGGGCGCAGCAAATCCGCCGCCGCCCTAGCGGTGACCTTGACCTCCGCCGTCTGTTGCGGCTCTAAAGCCAAGCCGGCGTGGAATTGGGAAAGCTCGTGCTACCCGAACTCGGCACAATTATCCACCCCTGAACGTTTTGCACATGGGAGTGGGACTCGTGCTCGCACCACCAATTTTGCTTGGTCATGAGAGTGCCTTACTGGTCGGTGGCGGGTGCCTTACCGGTCGGTGGCGGGTACCGTACCAGTAGGTGGCGGGTGCCTTACTGGTCGGTGGTGAGTGCCTTACCGGTCGGTGGTGAGTGCCGGCGGCGGTCGCCAGCCGGGGCAGCGCCGCCTTCTCAGAGCTGGTCGGTCGGTTCCCCATCCGGCTGGACATGACGTCACCGCCGGACCAGTGACGTCAGCGGCCGCAGACCAGTGACGTCACAGGAGCCAGCGCGTGGCCAGCGCGGAGCGCAGCGTGATGAGGTCTCCCTTCACCGCTCACAGAGCTCTGTAAATGAGACAGTAATAATGAGAGAGATAAATTGTTAATTACAACTGTGTTTTCCTTCTGAGAAGAAACTGAAGAAGGCTGCCATAACTGTATGAGAAAAGTAATGTGTACCAGGTGAGTCAACCTATTCCCTGGATGTATGGTTCTCTTGATCTGCATTTGAAGAAAAACAATGCATGTTGTGCGAGGTATTATATTTTATATCACGAGAGCAAATATTTTCATCAGGCTTTAATTACCCCGAGGCGACTGCTATTAACTCAACGGTATGGTGTAATTTCAATCTGCCAGAAAATGCTTTTATGCATAATCACAATTAGATGCATTGTACCTGTTTCGACACTGGAGACTTGCCTACTCTGGTTGATAATGCAGGGCTGCAACTGGCGCAATCATCCGAGCAACACCAGTAGGTATATGATAGACACAAGAAATCTCGAACGGGCCAAAATGTTTCCAGGCATTAGTTGCTGCTTAGTTACGGGGTAGAAAATGGCGGCAACAAACTACCGAAAATGATACCTACAGAGCACCTCTGCGCTGCGGGCTATTGGAGCCAGAAAAGTAATGGTAGCACTAGCATTAACACGAGTAAATGATGATATTGCCGGCATTAAGGAAACCAGAAATGATGGTAATTTAGGGTAACATCGGAGGTATCTTATTACTTTGCAATACGTTCGCTGAAGAGAAGAACAGCATTGCTGTTGCAATAGCGTGCCTGCTGGTAACAGCCTTCTGAGGCCATGAGTTATCTGAACCGTTCTTATCTTCTCATTTATCAGGGGAATAGTAAAAAATATTAATAAACATCAGCAAAATTACGATCATCAACTAATCCTACAGTCAAAAGCGCCCCTTTAGTTATGCTTATGTCCCTAAGCATTGCAGTAACGACATACACTGCTTGTTGTCTGGTGTACATACCTACCTGCCTGACACCCAATAATACACATACTGGCAGTGAATCCTCTGCTGTCTGACCGTCTGCCAGCAATATAAATCCACTTTACAGGGGGAGATAAGAGCAGTAGTTGGTGGTTGCGACGTCCCTGACCGACCCTTTATTCTCAGTGCCGTCACCCCAGCCAAATTTATCGTACGGCCCCACAGTCCCGGCGGCTCTTCCTCTGACTCCAGAGCGCCTCCCCCCTCTCCCCCGTGGTCAAACTTTTGCTACAGAAATGGAGACACAGAAAGAGAAAGAGAGAGAGAGAGAGAGAGAGAGAGAGAGAGAGAGAGAGAGAGAGATACAGGCAGAGGAAGAGACTGAGAGAGAGAGAGAGAGAGAGAGAGAGAGAGAGAGAGAGAGAGAGAGAGAGAGAGAGAGAGAGAGAGAGAGAGAGAGAGAGAGAGAGAGAGAGAGAGAGAGAGAGAGAGAGAGAGAGAGAGAGGAGAGAGAGAGAGAGAGAGAGAGAGAGAGAGAGAGAGAGAGAGAGAGAGAGAGAGAGAGAGAGAGAGAGAGAGAGAGAGAGAGAGAGAGAGAGAGAGAGAGAGAGAGAGACAGACAGAGAGACAGACAGACAGACAGACAGACAGACAGACAGACAGACAGACAGACAGACAGACAGACAGACAGACAGACAGACAGACAGTCTGTCACCGCTGTCAGTGTCAGTGTCAGCTCGGTTGTCCCTGTCACCAGTCTGAACTCGGACACCGAGAGAAGCTCGGACCTCCTGCACTGAGCTGACACTCCTGACACCATTTCTGCTGACCATGTGGCGTGACCCCCCACTCCCACCCCTCAGCGCGGGGAGGGGGGGGCGACCCCGTGTGGGCGGGGCAGCTGTCCACCCGGCTGCCGCGGAGTTGGCACACCGCCAGATCGGGGGGGGGGCGGAAGCAGGGTGGGGGGGGGGGGGGTGGGGGGTGGCCAGCGTCGTAGGATGTCCGTCCGGCCGCGAATCAGCTGATTTGGGTTTGGACACGCTAGTTGGGTCGCAGATACTAAAGCTGCCTGAAATAGATAAAACTGTAAATGCATCGGCAAATAAGTTAACCAAGAGTGTTTTTGGTCTTGCGGTCGACAAACTAATGTAATTTCGCTCGTACTCATCATAGCAGAAGTGTTACATTTATTTGAAACCATCTTTGGTTACCATGTGTCAGAAAGGTAAACTTTTAATGATTATATTTGCCAACGTTTCCCATTAGAGAGCAGCGAGCTCAATGGGATTGGCTTAATAGTCCCTGTTGCGTTATAACAGGCCATTTTTGATCTGTTCACGTACATTCCCTGCTGCCATCTGTTGAGCGATTGCGGAACCGACTCAAAATATCGAACATTTCTTGGTGATTAATACACACAATACGTCATCCCAGACAGCGCAGTGAGCCTGAACTGCAGTTGGTATGCATTGGCCTGGCCCGGTCTACAGCTCGACCTTGCCCGGTCAAACTCGGCCCAGCCGGCGATGCCGGGAGCACTCCCCAGCAGGCCACTCTGACTGCATCCCAGCGGCAATAACGCAGCCCGCCGGCCGCCGGGTATTCCGACAATGTGCCCCAATGTATCAGAGGGATTACAGAAACTGCAAACCGCGGGCAGACCATCTCAGATAAATGGGGCCGAGGGACATTGAACAGCAAAAGCAACGGGGAACCTTTGAGAGGAAAGATGCATTTTGACACGATATAAATGAATGAGTTGCAGCTTATAACAGAATGCAGCAATAGTTGGCAATGTAAACTGTAGTTGTAACTATGTATATTGTACATACATATACATAATAAGCAATTGGTCACGACTTCGTAACGCCAATTAGTAGGTTTCAACAAAATATATTAGCAATTTAAATTTCCTAAAATTGTTGTCGTAATGCCTAACAGCTAAGAATTTCGAAGGTGATGCAGATTGGCGCAAGATTGCCCTGACCTTCATCTGATAAACTGACTCGAAGTGGTTTGTGGATACCATATTTGCGTGTGCAGAAGAGATGCTTGATAAAGTGTGTCATTTTGTTTTTTGCTTTTAAATAAATTTGAAGACATTCGAAAAGGCGACAAGTATGCGACTTCCACACGGCCAGGACTAATCTTCATACCAAAAGTGACTTTCAAACCAGAAATCACATCTTCCTATTACCCACCCTTCTTTGCCGGATTCCCGACCGATCCTTTCCTCCTTTGTCGGCCTGACGGCGACACTGCGGTGATCTATATGTTTTCCACCTCGCCGGACGGGCGGCAGAAAGGGCCACTGAAAACAGGGACTGATGGCCGGCCGGCGGCGGCGGCGGCGGCGGCGCCGGGGTGACCCTGTTTGACCTCTCGGGGCCTGATGACCAACCTCGCCGTAATTGACAGCTGGGTGTGGGAGGAGACGGCCGGGGATGGGGCAGGATGGGGGGAGGAACGAGGTGTGATGACCGTGTCTGTCAGACAGGAGCTCCACCCCGTCTCTAACAAGGTCGACAGGATGTTATTGACTTTGCTGGCTGTACCGGGACGTGGTTTTCCCTACAAGTGACATGTGTTTACCTCGCTTCCACTTCTTGTATTTCTCTTGCTCTTGCATCTCATTCTCTCTCATTCTCTCTCTCTCTCTCTCTCTCTCTCTCTCCTCTCTCTCTCTCTCTCTCTCTCTCTCTCTCTCTCTCTCTCTCTCTCTCTCTCTCTCACTCTCTCTCTCTAATTATTGCTCTCTCTCTCCCTCTCCCTCTCTCTTTTTATTCGCTTCTCTCTCTCTCTCTCTCTCTCTCTCTCTCTCTCTCTCTCTCTCTCTCTCTCTCTCTCTCTCTCTCTCTCTCCGCCGTCTCTCAGCATTCCCACTCCGTTCTCCCGCGGCGTTTCCGGCCTGGAGCAATTCTCAGGAAGTGCTCTGCCACCCCCGGTTTCCGCCGCCACCTGTGCCATCTCTGTATCACTCTGCCCGGCGCTGAGTTTGAGTGTTCTCTGACTGCCTCAGACATAGTTCCGCTGGCCGTGTTTATTTGCTGTCCGCTGCCCCCCCCCCCCTCCCGTCCCTGCCGTGACCTTGTCCGCTCGACGGAGTCCGCGCGGCGGAGTTCCGCACGTCGGCCGCAGCTGACGTCTCGACGTTAATGTGGGGCCGCCAGCCGGCGCCGGTCAGCTATGAGAATCGCCAGAACGCAACGGCAGCGGCCTCTCCGTGAAACTGAGGCATTGGCGGCGCTCTGCAGACGCTGACGGCGCGCTGCAGATGTAACGCAGATGCGTTACATTTTTTTCATCTTTCATGCTGAACTGCAAGCTGTGCCACAAGCTGAAACACGGCCATCTGCGAGCGCCGCACAGACACGGTCAGCCGGCTAAATCGGCTGTGATACCCTCTCACCGTCCCAGCTGGCGTCCACACAGACGGCGCAGTAGGCTCTGACAAACAGGGGTCCTCTATAGATGACCACCCCACTTCATGAGAACCCGGATCTGAAGCCAACAAATAGCATACCGAAACGCGCCATTCTGCCAGCCTCGAGCCATTAATCAGTTAGCCTTTGGAAAACAAGACTCTGTCCCACGCTCGGCACCCCGCCAGAGAACAAGGAGAGGGGAGTGCAGACCGGCCCTGATTTGAACCAAAACAAGAAAGGGGAGCGGAGACCGACCCGGGTTGTACGAAAACAGGATGAAATGGAACTCGGTCGCCAACGACAAAATATAGGACATCTGGCCGGACCTGACTTCAAAACAAGGGGAGCAGAGGGCCAGGCCCGCCACCTGGCGCCTCAGGCGCCGTGAGCGCCGGCGGCGAATTCCACCCGGTCGCTGCGTGAAAGGGTGCGACTGCCATGGCCGGAGGGGAACCGAACTTTGTCAGCAAATCACGAACTTTCGAGGGCGGAGCCGAGTGCAGCTTCTGAGAATGGAGGACGGAGATTGGACAAGGTGATGCTGCCCGGCCCTCTGAAGTATGACGTCATCAGAAGTATAAGGTGATGAAACGGAACTGAAAAGCTCTCTCGGAGGAGGCATTCCGCGCTCTCTGGCTCTCTCTCGGACGACGGATCCCACGCCGCTCTTCGCTCTCGGCTCACATCCGACACCGTGGACAGCCCACGAGAGACCAGCGGCAGGCATCACGGCGCCGGCGGCGGCTCCGGCCGCCTGGCCGGGCGCTGGACGGTCACGACCATCATGTCAGCGACTCCATCTCAAGTAAGGTCACGCGGTGAACACGGGTGCGCACCTAGTCCCTAAATCCTCCAAGTAACCCCCCCCCCCTTTCGTCACTGCTATGTGAGCCACATTATATTCCCCTTTTAGGTGTCGTCCGCAATATTTTAGGCCATTCAGCTTAGGTATTTAAATTTATTCTTGGGACTTTCAGTCTAGGTAGCTTAATTTCACAATTCGATTTTGATCAATTATGTAACTGTGCGCGTAGTGCGACACGCGTGCCGACGTGGGCCCTCTTCAGTCGTCTGGCGCCCCGTTGTGATTTAAGCGGACGGAGGGGATTATGCACCGTGGGGAGTCGGGAAAGGGACGGGCGACTGTGTACCGCACCGCGCGGCTTGTGGGGCTCAGTTGATGGGCGGCCTGGGCCCAGAATGTTTCCTTTAAATTTGACTTGTAAAGGAATTTAAGGTGTTGCGTCGGAGTATGTAAATAAATGGGACTTGTAAATATTGAAATACGAGTGTGAGTAGTGCTGAAGGGGCAGGAATCGGAGGATGGAGCATAAAAGGCCATATGCTAACCCACAGTCAGGAAAGAGGTCGTTTCCAAGGTGTCCGGCCAGAGTAATTTACAACGATCAGTTCTCTTTATCTGTTGAGTTTACACAGTGCACAAAGCGATTATACACAACACATGCAGGGCCTCCCTAGCCTAACCGATACTGGAGCTTCTCCGGTTGACTCCTAAGTGCCCTTGCCAGTGGATTTCCTGGCACTCCATCCTCCCCAAATTATCCCACGGTCCAAACAATAGCGATTACACACAATACACACAGGACCTCCCTAGCCTAACCGATACTGGAGCTTCTCCGGTTGACTCCCTAAGTGCCCTTGCCAGTGGATTTCCTGGCACTCCATCCTCCCCAAATTATCCCACGGTCCAAACAATAGCGATTACACACAACACATACAGGACCTCCCTAGCCTAACCGATACTGGAGCTTCTCCGGTTGACTCCTAAGTGCCCTTGCCAGTGGATTTCCTGGCACTCCATCCTCCCCAAATTATTCCACGGTCCAAATGATAGCGATTATACACAACACATACGGGACCTCCCTAGCCCAAGCGATACTGGAGCTTCTCCGGTTGACTCCCAAGTGCCCTCGCCAGCGGATTTCCTGGCGCTCTACCCTATCCAGCGGTCCGAATATAAGGAGCACACATAGACCTTGCCGCACACGAAATATTTGTAACTTTACCCCACATGGACACTGGGGACACTGCAAGGGACGGAACCGGGGAGATAGATGATGCACGTCACGCCCCTGTGCGTGGAAAGTCCACCGACGCGGCCATGGGTTAGGAGGGAGATAAGAAGCGAGTGAAATGGAATTGAAGACTGTACACGTAGAGGAATCGGATTTCCTGAATGAAGCTCAGCTCGGATAGACCCCACTTAAATAGTAGGCCTCGCTTGGGTAAGCCCTGGATACGTGCAATAAGTCGCGAAGTGAAGAGAAAGGGTGAGAGCGAGTTGAGGATCGATTATTGAGGATGAGTGCAGAGCCGACAAAGGCTAATCCGTTCGGTTGCCGGTGCGGGCCCCATAAAGCCGTGGCTATACGGAGACGATGCAGGCAGCCCGGAGGGACCTAGTGACCCCGCCCGGTTTTTAAAAGATAGGTTAGGTCCGCTATCGGTCCATTGAGTGATCAGCGCAGGATGACATTCGATAAGTGACGTAGGTAGTTTCGGAGATGGTTAGGACCCCAGGCGTCCCAGCGAGGAGACGTATGCCGCCGGTTAAGTAATGTCCCGCGAAGAAACGTGTGATGCTGCAGGACGGGGGTGAACATTAAATACCAAAGCATGCGAGTCGGGTGATCGCGGTAAGTCGGTACTGGCCACCCCGCTGTCAGTCGATTTACTCCGGCCGTGCAGCGGTCATTTCGGTTAGGTCTGTGACGACAGCTTAACTACCAGCAACGAATAGATAGGGCTTCGGGCACCTATAACGCTGGTAGTCGTGGATCGTGTAAAGCCAACGGAGGCTTACCCGTTCGGTCGCCGGTGCTGTTCCAAAAGCCGTGGCTATACGGAGACGATGCAGGCAGCCCGGACGGACCTAGTTACCCAGCCCGGTTTCAAATTTTAGATAAGCCCATTGCGGGCCGTGGTACGCTTAGTTTTCGTTTTATTATAGGCAATTTGGCATAAACTGGTAGTCATGGATTCGTGTAAAGCCGACGAACGACTAACCCTTTTCGGTCGCCGGGGGCTGGCCCGAAAACCGCGGCTATACGGAGACGACGCAGGCAGCCCGGACGGACCTTAGTTACCCAGCCCCGGTCTCAAATTTCAAATAAGTCCCCCGCGGAAACCGGACTACACAGTGTCCTGCGAGCCGTAGTCTCGGAACCGCTGGCCGAAGACATTTATGTTTTTTTTTTGTGTAGGTAGTTCGACATGGTGATGGGACGGACCGCAATAAGTCACGTAACGCGAAGGTCGAGTGCCGAAATATATGGTGGGTCGTATCTCTAATTGTGTAGCGTGAGCATTATGAAGAGTTTGTCTGATGTACGGAACATTGTGGTTATGAAGGGATAACGGTTAAATGACATTTAAGGCCAATGACTCGATAACGACTTTGCGCGCGCCCTAGCACCACCGGGGGAAGTTAGGAAAAAGGGGAGGGACCGGAGATGGTCAACTCTGGTAAATTACGAGGTATAAGTGGACGAATGACATGGTTGTAAGGGGATGGATAAATGGACGAATGATTGATACATATATCTGGTGGGAGATGACCCTCAAGCTAGGAAGGGCGCTGTTGTTTGAGAGTGGGACTTTTTGTTAAATAGAGTTGATTTTCTATACCAATATGATCGAGGGTAATTGATTATCATTTATCATTATCTCCCATTCCCTAACCCTGGCCTATGTGTTTCCGATGATTGATCGCCCCGGAAAGATAGAGTCAGAGTCGGAACGGGTTCGCGAGGGGCTGGATACAGAGAAGGGCTTCTAGGAGCGCACCGACGGAGCTCTCTTGCTCTCTTGCTCTCTATCAATATCGAAAGACACTGCCCGGTTAGCCCCGCAACGCCGCGAAACCCCGCTACAGATTTGGCGTACCCAACGTGGGGTAGGATCAATCAAAGGAAACATGAAGTCGGTGGACGGACGTGCATTGCCGAACCCAAAGCTAAAATTTCAGAGGAAATGCGAGCGTGAGTGAGAAAACATATTATGTCTGAGCTAGATGCAGTGGGAGCTGGTCACTCAGTGCAGCGTTACTCGGGTTAAATTGATTTGATTGAAATCAGAAAGCGTGGATTGCTGGAGGGTGTATATATCATGAAGTGATAAGGGTAAATCGAGGATCAATTTTTAGTGACGGGCGAGCGGGCTTGGTATATATTTTTTTTTTTTTGGCTACAGGTATCGCTAACTAAAATTATGTGGCTCACATCTAGCGAACCCTAACCTTGAGTGAAATCCCGTGATCCAAAGTTAGAGTAATCACACCGAGGATGCCATTTTAACCCAATTTTTAAGAGATTGTACCCATCCTATACCAAAAAGGTGCAGTGACCTATGTGTGACCCGTGGACTTACCCGCCTCTGGAGAGAACTGACAGGAGACCGGCAACCGTCCACGAGCCGTTCTCCGTGACGGAAACCCCCGTTACAGAACAGGCAGTCATGTATGTTGCCGAACCCAATGAACGTACTAAAAATACGACTGAGCACGACGCTATGAAGAAATTGAATGTGCTGAAATGAAAATCAGGATTGAAGAAGGCAAAAGTCACCAATAGGACGCAGCATACTGAAATGAAGGTGACAGCGCAGATTGTAAATGATTGAGGCACGTTTTAGAAGCAGTATGGAAAGCTGAATTGCGATAAGAACAAGAAGGACAACACACAGCCGAGTGACGGCGAGAAAGAAGACATTGAAGTAGTATACCGATGGAAACGACGTTGATACTAAATGGCAATGGATACATGCAATCACAGAAAGGAAACGACAGCTGAGAAGAGTAAAATGCAAATGATTGAAGAACTGTAACATCACGAAGCCATTTGGAAGAGCAAACGTGCAGCACAGAGAAGAAGAGACGCCGACAGAAGAACAGAAAAAAGGTAGTCATCAACAGCGACTGCCTGACAGCCAGTGCCCAATGGAACTCAAAATGAAGGCAACGCCGGAAATAAATAACAACAGAAGACCGGAAGAAGGAGAAGGAGACACGAATAGAACCAAAACTACAATGTTGTTAGCAGTTACATCGCACGTCTGTGACGACAAAATCAGACGGCAACCGGAGTAATGGTGACGACAACTACAACCATGAAGCATCATTAGACACGACCATTCAGGGACACCTCAATGCTGCCTGTTTCAACCAAAATGGACAGCTGTAATGGACCGGGCCAGTCTGCGGGCCGATTTCTGGACCGCCCGCCGCACTGGCAGGCGGTGATCCGCCGTTCATCAATTGCAGGTGGCTCCCATTTCCCAAACTTCGAGACCGATCATGTGATCTGCAGCAGGCCGGAGCGATGTTCTCAACGTCACAGCCAAGTAATCATGGAGCAGGCTGCAGTGGAACCACACCTGCCGCCAGATGTGACAGCCAAACCATCATCGGCAGTCTACACCAGAGCGCAGCCTCTGCGGCCACCAGACCAGCAGAAACAGCTTGGAAGCCACGTTCAACCAGGCTCAGCCACAGACGACGAGTTCTGGGCCGATCATAGCCAGCCCTGACAGCTCACCAGGGCAGCTGCGTACGACATCGATGGTCGGCGAGGACTACGACTACAACTACGAGACTGGGGAAATCCGGAACTGGGACACGACTACAGCAGCAGCCGGCCGGTTCGAGACCAAATCGCGGACGACCGCCAGTCCGTCATCGCGGCCATCCCGGACCGGAGCTGTCGTGGCTCATGGAGCCACCATCAGGTGCCGTGCTCACTTCTTTGGCATACCACAATCTGCACCGGTATGTTATCGCTAATTTGATCTGAATTATAGTGACCAAATGTACCAATGTTATTTTTTTTTTGTATTGTCATGTGTTAATTATTTCAATGGTTTCATTCAATTTCCATTGTTTTGCGCGCAAATAATTTGATGTGTAGTTTGTGGTGTATTACGGGATAGTACGTGAATGTTTTTAATTCTGGAAATGTAAGGATGGCCTGAAATACTGTGCAATGACACAAAAACCCGCACTTCTTATGTCCCAATCATCCAAGCTCGTATTATGCCATCCTCCCCAACCGAACACTCCTGTTGAAATAGCTACCAATCCTTTAGAAGACGGCCACCCGCTCTCGTCACAGAAGTCACCAAGAAACACGACGAAACGGCACCAAATAGCACGGCAGAAGCGGGCTCTCAAACGTTTAGTCGCGGGGCGCGACTATAAAAAGAGGTCTGAAAATGTAACGCAGATGCGTTACATTTTTTTCATCTTTCATGCTGAACTGCAAGCTGTGCCACAAGCTGAAACACGGCCATCTGCGAGCGCCGCACAGACACGGTCAGCCGGCTAAATCGGCTGTGATACCCTCTCTCCGTCCCAGCTGGCGTCCACACAGACGGCGCAGTAGGCTCTGACAAACAGGGGTCCTCTATAGATGACCACCCCACTTCATGAGAACCCGGATCTGAAGCCAACAAATAGCATACCGAAACGCGCCATTCTGCCAGCCTCGAGCCATTAATCAGTTAGCCTTTGGAAAACAAGACTCTGTCCCACGCTCGGCACCCCGCCAGAGAACAAGGAGAGGGGAGTGCAGACCGGCCCTGATTTGAACCAAAACAAGAAAGGGGAGCGGAGACCGACCCGGGTTGTACGAAAACAGGATGAAATGGAACTCGGTCGCCAACGACAAAATATAGGACATCTGGCCGGACCTGACTTCAAAACAAGGGGAGCAGAGGGCCAGGCCCGCCACCTGGCGCCTCAGGCGCCGTGAGCGCCGGCGGCGAATTCCACCCGGTCGCTGCGTGAAAGGGTGCGACTGCCATGGCCGGAGGGGAACCGAACTTTGTCAGCAAATCACGAACTTTCGAGGGCGGAGCCGAGTGCAGCTTCTGAGAATGGAGGACGGAGATTGGACAAGGTGATGCTGCCCGGCCCTCTGAAGTATGACGTCATCAGAAGTATAAGGTGATGAAACGGAACTGAAAAGCTCTCTCGGACGACGCATTCCGCGCTCTCTGGCTCTCTCTCGGACGACGGATCCCACGCCGCTCTTCGCTCTCGGCTCACATCCGACACCGTGGACAGCCCACGAGAGACCAGCGGCAGGCATCACGGCGCCGGCGGCGGCTCCGGCCGCCTGGCCGGGCGCTGGACGGTCACGACCATCATGTCAGCGACTCCATCTCAAGTAAGGTCACGCGGTGAACACGGGTGCGCACCTAGTCCCTAAATCCTCCAAGTAACCCCCCCCCCCCCTTTCGTTACTGCTATGTGAGCCACATTATATTCCCCTTTTAGGTGTCGTCCGCAATATTTTAGGCCATTCAGCTTAGGTATTTAAATTTATTCTTGGGACTTTCAGTCTAGGTAGCTTAATTTCACAATTCGATTTTGATCAATTATGTAACTGTGCGCGTAGTGCGACACGCGTGCCGACGTGGGCCCTCTTCAGTCGTCTGGCGCCCCGTTGTGATTTAAGCGGACGGAGGGGATTATGCACCGTGGGGAGTCGGGAAAGGGACGGGCGACTGTGTACCGCACCGCGCGGCTTGTGGGGCTCAGTTGATGGGCGGCCTGGGCCCAGAATGTTTCCTTTAAATTTGACTTGTAAAGGAATTTAAGGTGTTGCGTCGGAGTATGTAAATAAATGGGACTTGTAAATATTGAAATACGAGTGTGAGTAGTGCTGAAGGGGCAGGAATCGGAGGATGGAGCATAAAAGGCCATATGCTAACCCACAGTCAGGAAAGAGGTCGTTTCCAAGGTGTCCGGCCAGAGTAATTTACAACGATCAGTTCTCTTTATCTGTTGAGTTTACACAGTGCACAAAGCGATTATACACAACACATGCAGGGCCTCCCTAGCCTAACCGATACTGGAGCTTCTCCGGTTGACTCCTAAGTGCCCTTGCCAGTGGATTTCCTGGCACTCCATCCTCCCCAAATTATCCCACGGTCCAAACAATAGCGATTACACACAATACACACAGGACCTCCCTAGCCTAACCGATACTGGAGCTTCTCCGGTTGACTCCCTAAGTGCCCTTGCCAGTGGATTTCCTGGCACTCCATCCTCCCCAAATTATCCCACGGTCCAAACAATAGCGATTACACACAACACATACAGGACCTCCCTAGCCTAACCGATACTGGAGCTTCTCCGGTTGACTCCTAAGTGCCCTTGCCAGTGGATTTCCTGGCACTCCATCCTCCCCAAATTATTCCACGGTCCAAATGATAGCGATTATACACAACACATACGGGACCTCCCTAGCCCAAGCGATACTGGAGCTTCTCCGGTTGACTCCCAAGTGCCCTCGCCAGCGGATTTCCTGGCGCTCTACCCTATCCAGCGGTCCGAATATAAGGAGCACACATAGACCTTGCCGCACACGAAATATTTGTAACTTTACCCCACATGGACACTGGGGACACTGCAAGGGACGGAACCGGGGAGATAGATGATGCACGTCACGCCCCTGTGCGTGGAAAGTCCACCGACGCGGCCATGGGTTAGGAGGGAGATAAGAAGCGAGTGAAATGGAATTGAAGACTGTACACGTAGAGGAATCGGATTTCCTGAATGAAGCTCAGCTCGGATAGACCCCACTTAAATAGTAGGCCTCGCTTGGGTAAGCCCTGGATACGTGCAATAAGTCGCGAAGTGAAGAGAAAGGGTGAGAGCGAGTTGAGGATCGATTATTGAGGATGAGTGCAGAGCCGACAAAGGCTAATCCGTTCGGTTGCCGGTGCGGGCCCCATAAAGCCGTGGCTATACGGAGACGATGCAGGCAGCCCGGAGGGACCTAGTGACCCCGCCCGGTTTTTAAAAGATAGGTTAGGTCCGCTATCGGTCCATTGAGTGATCAGCGCAGGATGACATTCGATAAGTGACGTAGGTAGTTTCGGAGATGGTTAGGACCCCAGGCGTCCCAGCGAGGAGACGTATGCCGCCGGTTAAGTAATGTCCCGCGAAGAAACGTGTGATGCTGCAGGACGGGGGTGAACATTAAATACCAAAGCATGCGAGTCGGGTGATCGCGGTAAGTCGGTACTGGCCACCCCGCTGTCAGTCGATTTACTCCGGCCGTGCAGCGGTCATTTCGGTTAGGTCTGTGACGACAGCTTAACTACCAGCAACGAATAGATAGGGCTTCGGGCACCTATAACGCTGGTAGTCGTGGATCGTGTAAAGCCAACGGAGGCTTACCCGTTCGGTCGCCGGTGCTGTTCCAAAAGCCGTGGCTATACGGAGACGATGCAGGCAGCCCGGACGGACCTAGTTACCCAGCCCGGTTTTCAAATTTTAGATACGTCCGCCGCGGAAAGCCCGGGCTACTGAGTGCCCTGCGAGCTCTAGCTCCGGAACCGTGGGCTGGAGTGTGTTAGAGAAGCGATGCGTTACATTTTTTTCATCTTTCATGCTGAACTGCAAGCTGTGCCACAAGCTGAAACACGGCCATCTGCGAGCGCCGCACAGACACGGTCAGCCGGCTAAATCGGCTGTGATACCCTCTCTCCGTCCCAGCTGGCGTCCACACAGACGGCGCAGTAGGCTCTGACAAACAGGGGTCCTCTATAGATGACCACCCCACTTCATGAGAACCCGGATCTGAAGCCAACAAATAGCATACCGAAACGCGCCATTCTGCCAGCCTCGAGCCATTAATCAGTTAGCCTTTGGAAAACAAGACTCTGTCCCACGCTCGGCACCCCGCCAGAGAACAAGGAGAGGGGAGTGCAGACCGGCCCTGATTTGAACCAAAACAAGAAAGGGGAGCGGAGACCGACCCGGGTTGTACGAAAACAGGATGAAATGGAACTCGGTCGCCAACGACAAAATATAGGACATCTGGCCGGACCTGACTTCAAAACAAGGGGAGCAGAGGGCCAGGCCCGCCACCTGGCGCCTCAGGCGCCGTGAGCGCCGGCGGCGAATTCCACCCGGTCGCTGCGTGAAAGGGTGCGACTGCCATGGCCGGAGGGGAACCGAACTTTGTCAGCAAATCACGAACTTTCGAGGGCGGAGCCGAGTGCAGCTTCTGAGAATGGAGGACGGAGATTGGACAAGGTGATGCTGCCCGGCCCTCTGAAGTATGACGTCATCAGAAGTATAAGGTGATGAAACGGAACTGAAAAGCTCTCTCGGACGACGCATTCCGCGCTCTCTGGCTCTCTCTCGGACGACGGATCCCACGCCGCTCTTCGCTCTCGGCTCACATCCGACACCGTGGACAGCCCACGAGAGACCAGCGGCAGGCATCACGGCGCCGGCGGCGGCTCCGGCCGCCTGGCCGGGC